GTAATATATTCTTTAGAAATTGCCTACAACCTGTGAAATTTTTAAGTGTTTCAATTGTTCGTTGATGTGTAAATTCCTTTCATTATTGCGGACTGTAGTCAAATTCTAAAGAATCATTACACGCTGACGAGGCTGAGGTTGAGTAACGGGATCCGTGAAATGGCCTATAGGTTGCTATCAATAGACGTCACTTCCGGTAATAGCTCTTTTTTGATGGCTTGTAGAATCTTGGAGGTTGTTTTGATCTCTTGTTTTCTGGTTTGATGTCGTGAAAATAGTCAAATACAAAAGTTTGAGGACTTATTTTGATATGTTTTGACTTAGCATCCGCTAGTTGCCCCCCAGTCAACTCCAAAAAAGTCACGTGATTGATAGTAAAAGCAATATCTATCGCAACCTCTGAGATCTAAGGCAGGTTATGGCAAGTCACAGATAGAACCCTGAAGTAACCTAAGCATTGGCGGATTTAAGTCAGGGCATGGCTAAGACGTCGAGGATCAAACCCTGAAAACACCCCTGGGCTGAAACCGACCTTGATTCGGACGTATTTAATATGCATATTTCGAACTTTAAGTTTTTTTTCAAGGTGGCTTTATATAGCTTCGGGCTTTAGAGTAATAGAACTAGAAATTATTTTATAGCAAATAGAGATCTATATCTTGATATCAGATACACTCACCTTATTAAAGACTATGAGCCCGGTTAGGAATCATTTTTCGTGAAAATAAGCACGTGAATAGTTACCATAGCAACGACACGTCAGACACAAAACAGGCCCTTTTTGCCATTAAAAAATTAAAATCTCGAGTTTCCCGTGGTTAATCTTTTTTAGATCGTGTGATATGAAAGTTCGTTTTGTTATACCTATTATATGACAGCGTTTCATTAAAATCGCTGACTACAGAAACCAAGATATTAAAGAAATATCGATTTTTCAAGATAAAAAGTCTTCTGTAACCCAAATATTTTTTATATTGCGTCATTTACCTTATCATTCTACAAAGAAAATACTAAGAGGCTATTCAGTAAATAATACTAAAGGAGTGACGCATTTCCGGTTCGAAAAGCTTATTCAAAACCGCTAAATGTAAGTCATAATACAAACTTGTCATCTACGAGTGCATACCATGCATATATCCGTAAAAAAGTTAACTAACAAAATTTWAAAAAAATAGCGCAAAGTTTTGTAGATTTACGGTCTTCTGATGAAGTCTACTGAGAGTACTAATAGCTGTTATTACAGTCGAGCCTTCAATGAGATCATAAAAGTGAGGCTATCGGGTTGGATCTACTGAATGCTTTTAGCTTATTTGCCCCTCATTTGCATGCAGGCATAATATCTGCTATTTGTGCAAAATTGAGCAATTACTTACAATTTTTTTACTGATATATGGTATGCACTCACATTAAAAAGCCGATGGTAATCCTCCTATTAGAAAACTACCTAGAAAAACAGAACTAGGTTTGTTAGAACCGGAAGTCATTAGTGGAACTGTATTTTAATAACGTCATCAAAAGCCAGGAAACAATGTCAAGATTTGTTGTCATCACTTTTGTTGTCGTTTTGTGTTTTGTTTTAGGATTTTTACCCCCTTTCTTTCTATTCTAATACAACAGTCGGTGTAGCAAGAGGCTAAGATCGCACATGTTTTGATTTGGCGCCAAATTTCCTGCCAAAACCACAGGAACCCCATTTCTGATAAAAGACAAAAAGAGGTAGTCCCAAAAGGCTTTTGCTGTTAATTAATCATAGGAAAATATAGAATAAATATATCTCAAAAAATATAGATATRTCATTAACTCTGCAGGGAAGAAGAAATGAAGAAGGATCCTAAATGGAATGTTACAATGCCCTTTTGTTCGCTTGCTTGACCCGACTGTTCTCAAGGCTTACATGAAAATACAGAAGATATCAAACTTTTGTTGCATATGGGATA